TTTGTTGTTAAATTAAAGCTGCAGTTCATAACTTTTTTGTGTTCAAAATGTACAAAATGTATATAATAATCAAGTACATCATGAATCCATTTTCCAAACCGTGTTTTTGTCTTATCTTAAATCACTACGGTACTCCTATAATAATGGTTTATATTATGATTTTTTTTTTTTTTTTTTTTTTTTTTTACTGGTTTGGGTCGTACCCCTGCGGAGTAGCCCAGTACCTGTGTGACTCGTAATTGACATAAACAGAGAGAAGTAACTCCGGCTACAATGTTCTTCCACAAGACGCATGCAGTTCTGTTTATTAACCTCTGGAGCGCCAAAAGTTACAAACTGCAGCTATAATGTTTATTGCATTATTTTAGTGTCGTGTGTGTTACCATGATGGTGTTTTGTATTTGTGTGCATGACTGGGTGCATTTCTATTTATTGGTCCCCAGAGGGTTAAACAATTGCCTGATGGGCTGAATGAGCCCTTCTCTGATCACTGCGATTGCCTCTATAATCCTGTACAGTAAAATAAATAAGAGGGATTCAGGACTAGGGATGGGAATTGATAAGAATTTAACGATTCCGATTCCATTATCGATATTGCTTATCGATTCGATTCATTATCAATATTGCTTATCGATTCGATTCCTTATCGATTCTCTTATCGATTCTCATTGGGTGAGGGAATAAGTACAAATTTGTTTGTTCGTATTAACTTATTGAACTTATAACTTGTTTGTTTGTTTGTTTGTTAATTATTATTAACTCGCTGACACAGCACAGCGTATTAGGGGTGTGAACCTACACTGGTCTCACGGTTCGGTTCGATTACGATTATCATGTCATCGATTCAGTTCAATTCGATATCTCGATGCATTGCATGCACTGCATCCTCAATTTTACTTTAAAAGTGATGTGTGCGTGCGCGTGTTCACCTGTTCGTGAAGTCGCAGTGACAGAAACAGTGACATTCCAGTTTAAGTTTCATGGGACTAAAGTCTGTTCATGATGTTTGGCCAAATGTTTCTGCATATTGGAGGTCCCCCCCTTTGACGAAATGGAAATTTTACAGGTGTTGCAACAAGTGACCATATTGTTATGAGGCGCCGTCATACTCTCATTGAGTATGTGCGCGAGTTTGAGTTTGTGTGTGCTCGCGTCTCATATGAGTATGTGCGTGGAGAGTTTGTGTGTGCGCGCGCGCGTCTCATAAAAGTATGTGCATGGAGAGTTTGTGTGCGCGCGCGCGTCTCATATGAGTATGTGCCTGGAGAGTTTCGCGCATCTCGTGTGTGTAGAGTTTGCGTGTATGCGTGAGCGACTTTAGGTGTGTCGTTGTGCATTTCATATGTATTTGTTTGAGCATTCAGCAGTATACATGTATGTTTGACTAGTATACGTTTATGCAAGTGTTTCATATGTGTGCGTGAATGAAGTTTGATTTAAGCCCTAGACGGCACCTCACATATTGTCATCTTTTCGCGTGAAATATAACCAAACGAGCGCTTCTGCCTCGATGCCATGTTTGTTGCGTTCTGAATCAAAATAACGCAGCGCGTGTGTGACATCATGACACATTTGCAACGTGCGGAACCAATAAGCGGAATCGTTAAGCAGGCATACTAACAGTTCCAAGGAATTGGTTCAATTCTCGATTCCCATCCCTATTCGGGACGGAATTTGAGACTGGGCGTGACGTCATGCGCGTTCACGCTCAACTGGCTATGTCTGGCAGGTTTGTGTATTCGCCGGCGCCGCCATTCTCCGTATCAGCGAAGACAACTCGAGCGACAAAACTTTAGTCAACTTTCGACAAAAGTAGAAGATGGATTAGCTTGTAGTTCATTCCAAACCCCAACGGAAACTCCACGTAAGACAAAGAAAAGAAAACTTTTGTCTAGTGCCTCCAAAAGGGCCAAATTGGAGTCAGACAGGCGTCGGAATAAGACGAGAGTCAACATCGGGAAGGCTTTCAACAAATGGAGAAGTTTTCTACTACCCCCGTTTTCCCCTCACACATAAGTGTGTAATGTACTCAAATGCCTGTCCTTTCATATTTTTTAAATGACTTGCAGATTTATAACTTTATTACCTCTGAAGACATTATGACTGTAAACAAAAGATTTGTGCGGCTGATGCTCCTTTGGTTATGAACAGCTCGTGCAAGCGTGCGTGTGGTCCATGAGCGTGCACACCTCTGGTTGCAGTTTCCCTTGTCGCCAGAGGGGGGCATAGTTCTGCAAAAACTCATAGACTAGCGCAATGCACCTTTAAAGAGATTCGTTCAAAAATGCTGATTCATCCAGTAATGAAACAAGTGAAATCTTTATGAGTGAGTCATTAAATCATTCATTCATGTTTTTTTGTTTTTTTTTAATAATGATTTGATTAATTAAATATTTATTCATAAAATGTTATTTTGTTTAGTTGTCTGTACAGAATCGCGGGAGAATCATGATCTCTATTTTAAACAAAATGTTTAATTTTCAATTTATCCAAAATCGTGAAGCTCTAGTTTTAGAGTATTTCATCACCATCACCTGCCTCAGGTACACAGGTTCAAAAGTTTGGGGCCAATAAGGTTTTTGAAAAGTCTCTTATGCTCATCAAGTCTGCATTTATTTGATCAAAAATACATTAAAAACAGTAATATTGTGAAATATTATTACAATTTGAAATAGCTGTTTTCTATTTTAATATATTTTAAAATGTAATTAATTCCTATAATGACAAAGCTGAATTTTCAGCAGTTATTATTCCAGTTTTCAGTGTCACATGATCCTTCAGAAATCATTCTAATATCCTGATTTGCTGCTCAAGAATTTTTCTATTTATTATTATCAGCAGCACGATATATCGAAATATTGCAAATGTACATATCGCGATATGCATATTGCAACGGCTTGCGATAAATGCATGATTTTAAGATTACAAAAAATTACAAAAAGTCCAAGTTTTAGGTCGTTGCAGACAACAGAGAATAGACTGGACACATGACTGTTATACGTGTGACATGCTTAATGTTATTAGGTGCAATAAGCAAAGTACTCATGCACACAGGAAGCTAACATTACATTTCTAACATTACAGATTTCAAAAGGTACTGCGTAACAGGAATGACCCAGTGAAATTCGTTTATTTGTTTTGTGTTGGCATTGTTGTTGGTTAGCATAGCCTATGTGGAAGAAGCTTTGTCTCAGTTTGCAAACTTACATGGTGCATTTATTTGATAATAACTGAGTGCACTTTTAAGCATGCTCATATATTTAGAAACGCATAACATCAGTCTTCCTTAAAGAGTTAAATTAGCTTGTGAAAAAACAAAGAAAGATTGGAAAGGCCATAGCACAGCTTGCAGGGGGACTAAAAATAACATGAATGAATACAAATATTGCATGAAATAAAGCAAACATTGAAGAGGCACCCTACTCTGTAACCTCGGGTTTCCACAGCCATCCCCCCACACACACTCTCATTATCTGCTCAGTAAACGGCTATTTCTGTCCCCCATCACATGCAAAACAGCTGTGTAGTACATGTTATATATTTAGCGTCTTGTCAGCTTGTCGAACCCCATGGCTAACAAACCCAATTATACTTGCTCTACAGAGACTTTGATTGAGAAACGCAGTGGATGTTCACCTGTAATTTGTAGCTTAGTTTTAATAAATGCTGTTATTGGACTAGAGGAGAAATGTTATTACTCAGAATATGCTTAGACTTGTACTGTTCTTATCAAATTGGGTGCCAGAAGGGGGTGCTTGGGGGTCCTCTTAAAAAAATAAAAAAATTAACAGTAAGAAAATTAACAGTTGTGACTATTATTATTTAACTTTAAATTATAGTTATTTATTTCTATAAAATATTTATTTTTGTTATATATTATTAATTTCTAAATGTCCATTTCATTATAATTTAATTTTGGAAACAGTATATTGTCTTTATAATATCATACTTATTGTTCTACATATAAATGTCCCTAGACTATAACATTGTTTTGATGGATTTTAAACTTAATAATTAGGTTTTTAATATCAGTTAAAAGGTTTAGGGTTAGGGTTTAGGGTAAGGCATTAGGGTTTTATGCTATTTTTTGTTGTTAAATTAAAGCTGCAGTTCATAACTTTTTTGTGTTCAAAATGTACAAAATGTATATAATAATCAAGTACATCATGAATCCATTTTCCAAACCGTGTTTTTGTCTTATCTTAAATCACTACGGTACTCCTATAATAATGGTTTATATTATGATTTTTTTTTTTTTTTTTTTTTTTTTTTACTGGTTTGGGTCGTACCCCTGCGGAGTAGCCCAGTACCTGTGTGACTCGTAATTGACATAAACAGAGAGAAGTAACTCCGGCTACAATGTTCTTCCACAAGACGCATGCAGTTCTGTTTATTAACCTCTGGAGCGCCAAAAGTTACAAACTGCAGCTATAATGTTTATTGCATTATTTTAGTGTCGTGTGTGTTACCATGATGGTGTTTTGTATTTGTGTGCATGACTGGGTGCATTTCTATTTATTAATATTTTATATTAATTTAAAACTTTGATTCATCACATGGTTTTCTCATTACCAGCTGTATTATTATCGTTGATGTCAGTATGTTAAAAGTACAAAACAGGTTTTATTAGCAGCATGGCCTTGATAAATCAGCAGAAAAAGGTTTACCTTTTTGTTTTGTGTAAATTACAGTTTTAAATTGTAGAAATTAACAGGTTGCTCAAAAATATTTTACAGAATTATTCTGGCAATCTCAATCTAAAAAATGACAGGATATAAATATATATATATATATATATTTTTTTATATATATATATATATGTATATATTTTTTACAGTGTATGATATGACCCTTTAAACACCTGAATGGCTTTGTAGTGTAATATTAGCTGGTAGGCTCCAAAATCTAGTTGTACACTGTATAACCTTGCATGACGATCCACACATGTTTCAAATGCCACAGAGACTTTGCCCTGTCTAACACTTCTCTCCTCACCCTAGGAATGAAGACAGAAGGGAACGTTCAGAGAGGCAAACATGTACAAAGATGGATAGCATAGAAGCAACAGAGGAACAGTGAGTTGTTAGAAACATCTATTATTGTTTAGGGACAAGATGTTTGGTTCTTTTTTATAGTGCTTTTGTTGAAACCTCTCTAACGTCCTGTTAAGCTACATAAAAATGGAACTGCAGTCTTGTTAACAGAATAAAAAAAATTAGGGAAATCATCTAAAAATCTCACAAAGCAAGTACTTTTTGGGGCAATTGAATTTCTAATCAATCCTTTAATACCATTTACATGCACTTTATTTACTGACACCTGAAATAATTTATTTTAAATGGGTAGTTCCTGCTTTTTTTCATTGTTTCAAATTTTAAGGTGTCCCACACTGGATGAGATGATTGCCTGGTCACGGAGCTTTGAGATGATGATGCGCTCTCCAGAGGGGAGGGATGTTTTCCGGAATTTTTTACGGTCTGAGTACAGCGAAGAAAACCTGATGTTCTGGATCTCCTGTGAGGAGCTGAAGAAAGAAACCAACCCATCCGTTATCGATGAAAAAGCCAGGATCATTTATGAAGACTACGTCTCCATTCTTTCACCAAAAGAGGTTAGATTATGGGGTGCATCAAAAATAAACAATGCTGTCTGTGGCTGCAATGCATCAAAATCCCTTTCAAGGAAAGTGTTCACTCGGCATGGCCATATTTGCAACGCCTCCAGGCAGTTATTTCGGTCATCCAAGACCAAATCCTATCTATTTGAATGGGGGAATCCTGAAAACTCAAAAACTGCTTGCCGAACTCACAATTAAATAACATATTTCAAATCAGCAACAAAATCTGACATTAACTGTCCCATAAATGTTTCTTGTGCTCAAAAAGCGTTAAAAAAATATTACTTTCCAGGCTAGATGTGCTAATGCGCATGTGTAGTCCTAGTGCGAGTCTCAGGTTTCTATGGGAACTGGAGCTTCTAACGGCAGCTGCAGTGACGCAATGACTTTACCAATCTGCGATTGGTTCTTTTACTTAGAAGGCAGTTTCTCCCATTCATAAGTAATAGGAGTGAACCGTCTTTCGATATCTATAGTCTATGAATACATTCATAAATAAAACATGGCAACATAAAAATATAAGAAATACATATTAAATTCATAATTAATCTAAAAATGTCCAAAACAAAGGATATTCTCAAGCATTTTTTGTGCAATTTTGTTATGGGTGTGTTTTTTCGGTAACACTTTACTTGAAGGGGTGTGCATAAGACTGACATGACACCTTCATAACCATGACATGACACATGTTATGAATATGAAGGAAGTTTTATGCATGTTTATGACAACTGTCATTAAGTGTCTTTCACTCAATTATGACATTTTTAATGCAAATATGACATTGTTTAAGATGTCTTGGTAATGACACCTTGACATAAACCAATACATCATAACCTGTCAGTGTCTTTGTCATGACAACTTGACATTACTAAGACAACACAACCTGTCATAAACATGACATAGCAGATTAATTATCAAACTTAAGAAACCACTTAGCTTTATTGGTTAACATTACATTAAACTGTCTGGTGGTTGGTTTTGACATTGGCTGTCATGAAGCCATTATAACTTTTTAATGACAATTTCAATTTGTACCACTGTAGTTGAGGTCACAAAAAATATTCATGACACAGTTATAATGGCCTGATGACAGCCAATGTCAAAACCAACCACATGACAGTTCAACTTAATTTAATGTCAAGTTTTCATGACAAAGAGACTGACAGGTTATGATGTTTTGGTTTATGTCAAGTTGTCATAACAAAGACATCTCAAACAATGTCATATTTGCATTAAAAATGTCATAATTGAGCGAAAGACACTTATCATAAACATGCATAAAAGCTCCTTCATATTCATGACATGTGTCATGTCATGGTTATGAAGGTGTCATGTCAGTCTTATGCACACCCCTTCAAGTAAAGTGTTACCGTTTTTTCTATGTTCAACTTGAGTCTGATGAAGAGCATGTAGCTCGAAACATCACATCTGTTTGCTGAGCTCATTACATGTGTTTTTACCAATCTTTTTTTACCAATCTTACCAATCTAGAATCTGAATAAAAAATATTTTTGCAGTACAATATTTCACACAAAGCTTGAAGATAATGATTGTTCATTCATATAAAAATTGCAAAAACACATTAAAATAATGTAAGATACTTGAAAACATTTTTTTGCGTATAAATTCTCTTTTCTTTGTTTTTTTGTCATCTGTCATCTGTCAATTAAAAAAATAGTATTCATGAGTATATAAGGGTATATTTTTTGCTATGTACTGTACAACTTGAGTCAGAAGAAGAGCATGTCATGACAGCACATCTGTTCACATATATGTTTTTTGGGGGGCATTGTGCTAAGTTTTTTTTTTTATTATTTATTTTTTTATTTTTTTGTTTTTTTTTGGTCGGCAGGTCAGCTTGGATTCACGGGTGAGGGAAGGCATCAACCAAAGCCTGGCAGAACCCAGCAGTTTGATGTATGAGGAGGCCCAGCTACAGATCTACACCCTCATGCACAGAGACTCCTTCCCCCGATTTCTCAACTCATCTGTTTACAGGGATCTCCTTAACAGCAAGAGGGCTTGCTTAGACACCTAGGTTTCAGCAAGAACATTTGAGACAAAAAAGCCCCAAGGTGCCACTTTCAAAAGGTGTGATGTTTCTTATTTCAAGAGTGAGTAGTTAAGCAATTCTGAACATCCACTAGTGACCCTAAAGTTGAGTTCTGTTTAAGTGCCAATATGAGCTGCTCAGGCAACTGTGACACAAAAAAAAACATGTAGAAAAACCGACAGACCCATACTTCCTACTCTCAACTTGTCTTTTTCATTTACCTATTTTCCTGTTTACCTCACCTGTTCTCTCTCTTTCTCTCATGTTCTTTCTACCTGATCCTTTCCATCTTTTATGACTCACATGTCTGAGGACAGCTGAATAATGCTATTTTTTTTAAAAGAAAATCAAAAAACAAACGGATAAGCGGTAGATGTTGAGCTAGAAAACCTTTGCATGATACAAGGTTATGGAATTTACTCCAGTTTGACATTCAAGCCTCGGTCTACAATGTTTTTGAATAAAAAAAAAAGCAGTTTTTTATGCTGTCACGGGGTTGAGAACATTGTAAAGCTCTCGTAAGCGAAGGGAAAATTAGCTGTGCCAATTGTTTTGAAAAAGAGAAGCTGGGAAGCGTAATCGCCATCTTGCCGTCCAAACTCTTTCTTTGCGTGTCGACAGTTCTTTAACTGGGAAACATAAGGGCTAGCTAGTGTTGTGATTGGGCAGCTAAATGAATCATGAAGATTACTTTCTCTCTGCAAAAATCACAATGCCTCGACACTGAGTAAGGGCACAAAAGCTGCTGATGCTGGTGATGACACCGTTTTTTTTTTTGTGTGAGTCCTCCTAGCCCCTCCCAGTTCGTTACTAACAGAGAGGTACTGTATATCATGGGCTGTAAACTTCGCTGGATTGACTGAGAATTGCTTGAAAATCACTCACCAACGTTCTGGACGTTCTTAAAAGAGCTTCGAATTGTCTTACACATTAAAGAAATGTATTTTATTAAACAAAAGTGTAGTGAACACTATGCCTTGTTTTTGAGAGTTACACTAGGTCTATTTAAAATAACTGTGCTCGCCGAGACCCGCTCGATGAGGTGGTGCGACGGAGTCGGATCAATCAGGGAAATTGTTCTCTGCCTCCGAGTCCAAATGTTTGTTTTGCGACTTGAAACTTGGAGCGGTCTCGGTCATTTTCACAGCTCGGAAAACTGCAGGTTATCGGAAACGAAAACAAGTCAGTCTTTTTTATAATACTTTTTTCCAGCATGCGTTTCTTCTGTTGTGTCATGATGTACACATTGCAATACTCAACCCAGATATGATGTGAACCTCTGTGGGAAGCATCATGTCGAAGACGATATTATAAAGATGATTTTTTTCTTTAGAGGATTAGACGCGTGTCCCTCAAGAACGACAGCTTTTTAGCTCTGTGTTGTTGGATTCAAACTTGAATGTTGCTGTTAAATTTTCTAGACATTTATGTGCTATTGCAATCGCAGCAGCCAGTGCATGAGAACACCATATTTAAAATGCCGGTGTGTTAAACCACTCTCTCACCTTTTAGCAGAGTAATTCAAGAGTGAATTGCATTTAAACCGACATTTTTTGGTCACCATACCCAACCTCATAGTGTCACTTACCCTGAACTCTTGTGCCAATGAATGAACGAACGTTTGTCAAGTAAATCATGATCAAGTGTGTTGTTGTTGGGTTTTCTTATTGGTGCTCTGAGAGTTAAGTGCCATTCACTCTGCAGGTTTAAATTACCATATTAAAATGAAGACCTTTGTCACTTTACTGAGTGCATAGATATCCTTCTTTGAAGTATTTGTGTGTTTGAGCATCAGCCAATGTGGGTAGGTCCTTCATTTATGTTGTTTTACGAACCAAATAGGTGTTACCTAGTAGTTTACTTACTGAAGCAGCGAACCATCATGGGAAGCTTGGATTTCCCACATTTATAAAACAAAACTATTGAATTTTCTTGTTTGTTTTAAAAGAAAAATCATGTCATTAAAAAAATGAGCAATAAATCAAAATTGTCTTGCTCTAAAAAATAAATAAATAAATAAAGACCCTGCATGACACATGGACATTTACTATCTTTGAGAGGGGAGAAATCAGATGTTGACATATTGAGTCGCACTGAAGTGTGGAAAATGAAGCAAGGAAATTACCGTAGTAAACTATTGTGTACTATATTTTGCTGCAGGTGGAATCATTAAATAAAGTAAAATCAAATAACTTTTAAAATGCATCAACATCTATTGATCAACAGAAAGTTTCCCAGATAAATGTATTATTCAAAGTATCATCCTGTTAATTAGAATAAATTTGACATTTTCACTCATTAATTAGTTCATTCCAACAACATGCCATGTCACATTTGTCACATTTAGAATTAACCATCATTTTTGAGAGTAGTTATCTCTGTCTCAACTTCATTTTTGCTGCTAATGTTTTATCAGATTTAGAGAGTTTAGGAGTGTTTCACTTGACGGCTGTCACAGTGATGGCTAACAGCTGTTGATAATGATTTTATCAGCATGGTAAATGACTTGTAAAAATAATAATCTTTCTTGCCAAAAGGCTCCTTTTCTTAGCAAATGAAGTGGAGCCTGTGCTATGTTATTGTAGGAGCGCCATCCGCACAGACTGTCTCTCGTTTTCATTGGTTTTCCACTACCTCTCGTTATGCTTAGTTTTTCTCATCTATTTGTTAATGTTAAATGTTTATTTTGATCTACTTGAAGCCTAATACTGTAACTGAGATGTATGCTGGTATACCGAGGGTTTATGAAGAAGAGTAGCATTTTTTGTTTGTTTGCTTGTTGAATTCTTTTCAACATAATTATGATATATACTCCTAAAGAATTCAGGAAACATACTATTAAAGGGCTAATCCCATATTGCCTATGCAAATATCTTAATTGTCATAATGGAATAATTAGTGACTGAGGAATGTTTTCCTGAAATCGGGTGGAACACTGGTTTACATTTGCCCTTTTCTGATATTCCTTAGTCTCTTCGGTCACTTAATATGTCATATTATATATATATATATATATATATAATCCTTTTTGATGAAAAAGCTACTCATTTAAGATTGAAATAAATCTGTGTTGTGTCTACTGTGGGTTGACAGTTCACTATTGATGTAAACTGCACACTGAATGTAAGATACTGTGCATGCTAAAGTTTATTTGTTCAAGTGATGGCAAACTGGAGCCAGACAGGGCAGGAGGGAAGTAATTGAATTATTTGTAGATGCAGCAAGTGTCTATTCTTGTTTTTTAAGGGTGCTTCAGTCTTTATTGCAAAGGTTGAAGGGCTACTTTGGGCACTTTAAACAAGCTTTTCAAGAACAAGAATATCTACCTCTTGGTTCTGTTCTCTCCATATGCTTAATAGAAGATCGAGCCTTGAAAAACAATGTAGCTTGCACACATTTTGTTTGTTTTGATTCTGATTGGAGCCACAGGGAACTGGCGGGCGCTTTTTAAGGACAGAATTTTTAGCTCAACCCCATCGATTAAACTTCTCATCCTTTGGTTTTCTTTGTTTAAACAAAAGATTGACAGTTTGTGGCCAAGCAAAGATATATTTTCTGTTTAAAAAATAATACTCATTTATTCTAGTGTCTGTTACCTGCATGTGCTTGCATTATGTGATCTAAATAACATAACGTATAACAGATTGCTGTAATTATAGAAAGAAAAGTAATACTCTGTGTGGTGCGCTGCACACCCTTCACAATTCTTCATTGTGCTTACATGGAATATGCTCTTTACATTCATAAGACATTAATGCCATTGATTTGAAGGGTCATGCAGGGTAATGTGAATTTAAATGACCTTGCGGTGACCCTCAATATACTGTATGAATATTGCAACAAGGAGGAAGGCTTCATGTATATCAGCTTTTTTTCTTTCATTAAATTCTTTTTTTGACATCACATGGAATTGGAAAGAGGTCAGGTAACATTTTTATTAAACATTTGATGCCTGACTTTAAAATCATAATTCAATGATTTGTGTTTCTATAACCTCGTCATGCTCACTTGTTTCGTCTTTATACAAGTTCACAATTACATTCCAACCGCTTTCATGATAAAACAGCCTGATTACAATTGACTCTACAGAGCGCTACTGAATTATTTCGTGTAGGATTATTGTGTACCTCAAATTTTGTCACTTTACATATTTTAACAAAACATGGTATTATTTTGGATTGCTCCAATATCACAAACAACCTGCCAGTTACAGTTGTCAGATATTTAAATGTAAAGATTCCAAACTATTTCAAAATCGTTCGAAGGGATAGAGAAGCCCTCTGTGCATTTATGCTATGAAGAAAAGTAAGAATTAATAACTGATCATTTTAAGGCATCTCTTACAGGCTTTGGAGGCAAGCTGACTCCTGTATCACAGTCACCCTGAAGTGCCTTGAATGTTTAGGCCATGATCTATGATTTAGTTAATATACCAAGGGAAGATGTTTGTCTTTTAAATCTTGTGCTCTTCTCTATGATCGAATGCATGATGCACGCTATAAGAAAGGACATGATAGTATTTGAGAAATTTGAGCCTTTCAGCTTCTGTCATTGTCCTCTGCACACAAAAAACAAACAAAAAACGATTTTTTTTATTTTACCACCACCATCATCATCATCAAGTGTTTGGTGCTTATTATATGTCACATAATGAAATCCCAAACCTCTCGTCCCATTTCCTTACAGAATATAGGCTTGCCCTGTTGTTTTTTCTTCTTCTCAGATCAGACACAGATCAGACCTTCACTGAAGGCTTTCTTTAGAGCTGTGCCCTGATATGAGACCTCTTAAATATTATCACCTATTTAATATAAACTGTTTTAAAATGATCTAATATTTAATTATAATTCTGTTGTTTTTAATGCCAGAGGACAAACTATAATGCCTTTGTAAATTATAACTGATGGAAGAAAAAAAAAAGAAGAATCTTTTATATTTGGCATGCTTTTGCTATTCAAAATAGTTTAGTTAACACAATACTCTACAAGTATACATAGAAGTATTGCAATTTGCTGACAGTAACACTGAATCTCCTGGATGAGATTTGGAAATGGACTATATTGGAAATACTAGCAGTTTCTTTATAATTGTATTTAAATCTGTGCTGAGCTCTCAAAACTTGGTGGAATGACTGAAATTTGACTTCTAGTAATGAAATTAGTTTATTGTAAAGTGATGCAGTTCAGTTCAAGAACAGCAGTACTGGTTTATTAAGAATTGAGCCCAAGCGGATGGGCATCTTTCAGATCACATGTACTCCTGCATGAACACTATTAAAAGAGAGAACAAATGTATTTGTAGACATCAAATAAAGTGACTTACAATATGGTGCTTCTTCTGTCTGTCTAACACATAATAACATACTGTACCAAATAGCTGAAGAGCAAAATGTTCGACACTAACAAGAAAAAGTGATTTTATACTCACTTAGCAGTTTTTCTGTATTGTCTTGTGCAAAGTTTA